TTCACCTATTTTATAGGATCACATGCTCGCAGGTTTCAATTCTTCAACAGAGCCAAACTGATGTAATGAGCAGGTACTGCTCTCAGGATACAGCTTTAGTGCTCTCACTTTCTGTAGAGCTGGAAGAGATGATGTGTGCTAGACCCCAGTCTATTGCTTTTGATACTGGAGTTTTCTCGATAGCCACATCCTGCCTCAGAAGGACTCATTCCCTTTTACAGTGGTGCAGGAGTTTCCTGCAGAACTGCAGTATCAAGACTACAGCCATACTATGCGAGCAGCACTACATGGAAGCACAGCACACAGCAGACAGTTGCCACACTGTCCCAACTCCACCTGCATTCTGAGTTCCATCCCACCCTAAGGAGATGGGCTCCAGCACCATCACCTGCTTCTTCTTCCAGGAAGAGCTCAAGGAGTGACTTAATGCACTGAGAGATGGAGTTCTCAAAATGAAGCCAACAAGGAACAATATTGCTGCTGGATGTGGGAAAGACGTAATCCATCTAATGCCATGGAAGAACATTAGTGGGATTGCTTGGAGCATTTTCTGAAGACATTTCTGGATCAAATTAAACATGTGCTTAGCTCTTTCCCCATTCTTCTCAAATCTTCTGGATTCCTTCCAGCCATTACTTGCCTTCCCTGCTTCTATATCTTGCTCTATAAAGCACTGTCTCTCTTGCCACCATCTGCAATAGCAACCTCATCTCCTGCTTGGCAGCTCTGCAGGAAGCCAAGGTCCATTCTCCTTGCCATTGGTCAGCACAGAAAAACAGGCCTGTTCTCTCCTCTCCCTTTATAGCCTCCTTACAGACCACTCGCTATAGCCTGAGTGCTAGTGTTGACCAGACTGCCTGACGCCCATGTGGATGGTAGAGAACCACAGAACATACCCTGTAAACTGTGCCTGGTGGTCAGGAGATGCTCTGCTCACCACGTATCAGCCACTAGCCCTAGCAGTGCCTAAAGGAAGGGCAGGGCTCTGGTCATCAGGTAACGGTGCTTCAAGCTTCACAGGGATCCCTGGGTGCTCTCCTGATGAAGGGACTGGGACAGGGCAGGGAAAGGCAATCTCTGCAGCATTCTGCAATTCTAGGGAGCTTGTATTTGTTTTAAGGACAGGCCCAGCAAGAGTAGTTAGAGATGGCCAAACTCACTAACAGCCACCTGCCCATGCCCGGACTGCTATTCCTTGCTCTGGAGACTTCAAAGACTTACCTTTGACAGCCTTCAACAAACAAAGTCCCCACTTTGCTGATGGCCTTATCTCCATGTATGAGGTAACAGAACCTGAGGCAGAGAGAAAAACCACAGAAGGACTCCCCAGGAGAACCACAGCTAGAAACTCAGAGTTCCTCCAAAGAGACCCCAGCACCTCTTTCCCCCTAGCACTGAATTACTGTCAATATTTAGAGCTGTTGTGTTCTAAATGACCAGTCACCTTGTGCCATGTCACAAGTAGACAAGTCACATCGTGCCTCTCCTTGGAAGAAGAGCTGGATTTTTCAGAGTCCTCTTCCTTCTAGTAAGAAGCCTGAGATAAATAAACAGGAATAATAATTTTTTAAAAAGACATAGAAGTTTTTCAGAAAAGCACCTAGCATTCTTCTTCTTCTGAGTTTTCATATTTTAATCTCTCTCCTTGTCATATAATTGCACCATAAAGCCTGGAAAAGAGAAGGCTCTAAGGAGAACTTATTGCAACCTTTCAGTACTTTAAGGAGGTTAAAGAAAGATGGGGACAAACCTTTCAGCAGGGCCTGTTGCAACAGGACAAGGAGTAATGGTTTTAAACCAACTGAGGGTAAATTTACACTAGATATAACAAATAAATTCTTTACAGTGATGGGCCTTGGAGCAACCTGGTCTGCTGGAAAGTGTCCTTGCCCATGGCAGAGGCTTGGAACAAGGTGATCTTTAAGGCCCCTTCCAACTCAAACCATTCTGTGATTCTCTGATAAAGTTCAGTGCTCCACAGAAAACTCCAGCAAAACCAGAAAACTCAGTGCCTACAATTTTTATGTGTGCACACATAGAGGCACCAAAAATCCACAGGCAAAAAACTATGCGGTCAGAAGTAAAAAAATAAAGGGAAATGTTTCTTGAGTCTTCTTCAACATAGCACCAAGAATCAACAAAGCAACACAATCCCATCTGTTTTCCCCAGATGCTGGTCACCTTTAAGAAAGTCACTCCTGTGCAACACCTGCCCTGTCTCCAGTTTTCATGAGCAGCACATAGTGTGTCAGTGACCTAAGTAGCTGCCTGTTCTGACAGTAAAGTTAGAAGTCTGCCCTAAACAACTCCAAGCCCTTCGGTGAACTTTGGCCATAAACACATCTATGGTAACATCCAAGCAAGGGAGAAAACACAAGGTTTGGGGCTTCTAAGCAGGCTCCACGAGACAACCTCTGCTCGGAAATGCTGGGTGTGGGTACAGTTTCTGGTAAATAAATATAAAGACTCGAAGGCTGCTCTTCTTACCCTGGGGTTAGTTTGTTTCCCTGCAACACAATCAGCTGCAAGGTAGGCAACAAGCCCTGTCTGTCCCTGGAGCTCCTGTGTTCATCACCAGTTCTAGCTGAGAACAACAACAACCTGCTCCAGAGTGTAATAACCTTTGTAGGTGATTATGGGACACAAAAGGGACTAAATTCAAAGCAGGTTTTCAACTGGGGGGGATCCAAAACTGCTGACTGAGGAGGAGAGCAAAGCCAGATGGCATATGCTGGTATTGTTGGGGATTATGCAGTGTAAGGCAATAGGAAATCAGCAGAGCAAAAGGCCTGGTTTGGCTCCTCTTGCCAAATGAACATACTGGGATGACCGTGAAACAATCAGTTTATGGGTTTCATTCCCTCCACCCCCAGACTGAACTTAAATATTTGTATAAGCTCAGGCGTAACTTTTATCTAATGTTTTCCTTGGGGTTTACTAGCTGTTTAGAGCATTCAAGCTAAAAAGCATTCCCTCAAACTCTTGCCACAAAAAGAGCTGAAACTATGATACTAATTAAAACCACACTCTTTGGTATCAAGAAGACATGTTATTATTTTCTTTTGTTGCTCATGGGAAGCTGTTAATATGGGCAACACGTCTGGAACATTTTCCTTCCAAACGCCATGCTCCGTACCCCCTCCGGCTCAGGTCGGCTGGTGTGTGAACTTGTCAGCAGGCTGGGGTGGGAAGGCTCAGATTTACAAGAACAGACTTATTTATTTTTCTGTAACAAACCATTTGCCAACTTAACACTATGGAAAGCACATGAGGGAAAAAAACCCAAGAGGTTCCTGCTGCATGAAAGGTGACAAGCTAAAGAACTGTCCTGCCTTGGCACCCAATGGGCCAAATCAAGGGATGAGTCTATATACAAATATACTGCATGTTTTGAAAAACAGACTCTGACTTTGGCAGGATGCTCCTGGGCACTCAGCACAGGACAGGAGAGGCTGTGGGCTGGGCTGTGTGCCACTGCTGTTCCACCTGGGGCAAGGTCTACCTAAGGAAAGGGTAAGACTTTATGCTCATTTTACCCTGTCTCATTTGAGTGCTTCTAAGGTCTTCATGACTGTGGTATCAGCACCTCATAAACATTAACAAAATTATCCTTGCAACATTTCAAGGAAAAATGCTATCATCACATTTAAAGCATGGAAAATTAAGGCACAAAAATACGAGTCAGGTTTCTGTCCAACGCAAGCTTCAAAAGCATCCATGTGCTTCCTTAAACGGCTAAATCTGGTTAAAAAATTAATTTCCCTGTCCAAGACCAAACAACAGTGTCTGATGCAGAGTGGTAATCACACCACATGAGAGCAGGAAGCAGAGACAACTGGCTACTTTGGTCCAGTCCTCCTGGAGCACCAATTTCCAAGTCCCCCCTGATTCCAAGCAGTGCCCTGGGTGCCACTTGCCTTGCCAGGCAGCTCCACAGTGGGTCAGGCATGTAGCCACAGCTGGTGGCAAACAATCTGGGCTTAGCCCTGACAGCGCATCTGCAATGCTGGTGAGGAAAACACAAGTGGGAGGAGGGAGGGATCCGCTGGGGAAGGCAGTGTCCCACAGGTGTCACTCCTGGGACCACAAGAGTAAATAATTTTTCATCAGAGGCATTTGGTTTCTGGTTTCTGTTTGGGAGCATGGCTTTCGTTGCCTTGACTCAAAACAAAACTCAGCTTCCCTTTTTCACAGCCACAGAGATCTAGATTTGAATTCCTTGTGGTGAGAAGAGCAGGCAGCAGGGTTTTGAGGGCTGGCATATATTATTACACATTTATTTTTGAGAGTATTTTAGCTTTGTGCAAGCCCTTGCCTAGTTAGCCAGCCTCCAGCTTCACCAACAATACAGAATAACTGCCTAAGTTACAAACAAAAGTTAATACATAAAAAAATATGACTTCAGGAAAGAAACTAAGCTAGATGGGTGAACACACTGTAATTTGTTACATGCTTCCATTGTGGGGGGATCCAAAGTAATAAACCATTCCTGTAACGCTAGAACCACGAGGCCCAGCCCCAGCACAGTGTTCAGATTCCAGTATTAGCTCTGCCACACCATCCCCTGACTCACCACTGAGAGGAGCCTTATGTTGCCCACACCCCTTCAGCACAAACCCCTGGCACAGGGCTCCACTTGCCCTTTGATTTTTAATTTCCCTCCAAAAGGAACTGGGGGGGGTGTCAAGTAAGGAAGCTCTTGAGGAGGTGGCCATGGCATTGGGATGCTGCAATGACATCCCGTGTTGACTGAATGCAGCTATGAAGCACAAACCCACTCCCTCCCCAAGCATCATCAGAGATCCCAGGCTGGCTGCAGGGTTCTGTTTCAGATGCTGGGGAGGCTCAGGGAGACAGAGGCTGCCTCACACATGCCAGATCTCCTCCGTCCTGCTTCTCATTTGAGGCTGACAGGCAAAGCTCGAACACATCATTACAGCCATGAGGAGGCTGCTAAAGGTAACACTCAGGTTACAAATGAATTAATAGAAAACACTTACCTTCCCCACTAGCTTGCCTTTCCTGTTCATGCAAAGGTAGAAATCTGTCTCCTTCCCTTTGATCCGGACTTGACTGCCAAAAGTGTCTGTTTCCACTAGAAGCTGGGCTTGTAAAGGAAGAAGAAAAAAAAGCATTTACCAGTGTGGTCCTATTAAATGACAGGGTGCAAAGCTCAACCAGCACACTGTCCCATTGCCTCCAGCTGAACCACACCACGTTGGGATGCTCTGCAGAGGAACAACCCAAGGGACCACCCAGAGGCTGTGCTCCCCAGCTTAGCTGCAGGTACAGAACTGACACTTCTCCACTTGCTCCTATGTGGATGCTCCAGATTTGATGCTGGGTTAGCACAGAGTAGGCATATACATGTGTGTGCTCCATCTGTCCACACCAACTCCACCACTCCATCAGCAATATTAGCTCAATGCTAATAGAATCATAGATATCGCTTGAGTTGGAAAAGACCTCTAAGATCAAGTCCAAATGTTCTGCCAACACTGCCAAGGCCACCCATGTCCCCAGGTGCTACATCTGCATGTCTGTTAAACATCTTCAGGGACAATGATTCCACCACTGCCCTGAGCAGCCTATGGCAATGGCAGTGCTCTCCTTCATGCTGCAAGAGGGTTCTTGGAGGGTAACAACATGGATTTTACTCTCATGAAGATGAAATATTAGCACAACAAGAAAGAAAATCCTTTCCCCACAGCCAGTAGTCCTCAAACACTGCACAGAAGTGGTCCAGTCACATGCTCCTGGTGCAAAACATCACAATGACCTCCTGGAGATCACCACAACAGCTAGCAGGGGAGAAATTTGGCACTGCTTGTTCTGCCTGCAACCCATCTGCAACAGATGGGTGGGATGCACACCCATCTTGCAGACATCCTCCATGCGTAGCTGTGTTTCCAGGAGGCCACAAATTGCTTTCTGGCATTCCAGGTCTGTGGCTCCGGCTCTGGCTGGGAGAAATATGGCCAATCTCACAGTGCTTGGCACATTCATTGATGCCAGAGCTGTTTTGCAGCATCACCAGGAGCTGTGGCAGATTTCTGCTGCATCTTCATAAACCACCTGCTCTGTCACAACTAGATCTGCAGAAGGGCCCGAGCTGCCACCCAGATGAGCAGCGTGCCATCATCTTCGTCTTGAAAACCCAGACACATCCATATTCAGCCTTTTATTCCATCTCTGATCAAAACACGAATTCCAGTCATGCTCAAGATTCAGATTCCAGGAATTTCCCCGGAGAGGCAGGAACAGGCAGACCGGACATTTTGGTTCAGATCCATCTCCGATACGGAGGGGGAGAAAGGAGACATGGTGGAAACACAATAAAGAATGTGTGAGTGTCAGCAAGTGCAGCTCCATGGTCCTGCTCTGGATATACTCACGCTTGTAAGACCCGAGCCTTACCGTAGAAACACAGCTTTTGCCAAACTCTGGAGAATGTTTGATCTGTGCTGCAAAAAGTCACATTCTTTTTGGCATTCATATTTCAAACTTTAAAACCCTCTAAGAGCAAATATGTTCACTGTAAGGATTTACCATGAGGATAGAAATAGGAGTTTGTTTCATTTAAACACATTAATATTTTTCCCACTTGTAAAGTCAGCTTTTGGCTTCTGCAGCAGTGCAAATATCACAAACCTTTAACTCACAAGGGCCCTAAATGGAGTTTTCCCTTTGCAGCTCCGTCACATCTGCAAGTTTAGGAGTTTCCAGTTACTGGCTGCTTACATTTATTTAGATATGTTAAACCTGTTATCGCAGGGCATATTTAAATTACAACTTGTTTCTGATAGCAAGTAGGATAATGTCTGTATTACAGCAGCATACTACTAGCAATCATGCACAAAATTGGGTATTTATCTAAGTTTTTCAGAAATGCACCAGGGGTTTGGGTACCTGTGATGAAGTGCAGCTTGCAAGCAACAAGTGGGTACTGCAGGCTTTCTCCTCACACCCACCAAGGTGGCTTCAAACCTGTGACAACTTCTGTGAGGAAGGGCCACATGAGCCAGAAATAATCCATCATGGTAAGGATATCAATATGAACTGAGCCAGGATGGGGAGGACAGGACAGGGCCAAAGACAGGTCTTCAAGGGGAAGCTGCCCAATGTTGTAGATAACTTGGTGAATGTCCACTGCTCCAAGAAGATCATGGAGACTGCCCAGATACAATGCAGCATTAATAGACAAGGGAACAGCAAGGGTATGACTATCTATCTCCAAAGAGGTGACTTTGAAAGGAGTTCCCCTCACATGAGCAGAGGTCTAACTGTCAGCCTCAGAGAGGGTGCACATGAGGAAGGTTATGAAGTCAGCAAAGACTGACTCATGAATCATGGCCAACACCCTGAGCACCAAGGAGTCACCCACAGCTCTACAGTGTCGAAACCACCCAGGCACGCAAACGGACATGGGGGCACCCACCAAAGGGCTTCACACAGGCAAGACAGGACACATGGCATTCCCCATCCATTCCAGCCTCAGTGCTGGAACTAAAGCTGCTGAGAATAACACTGAGTACCAGACACCAGTTTTGATCAGCCAAAGTAGGAGCTAACACCAGCAAAATACTCCAACACGAGAGCCTTGAGCTGCGGTCCCAATGGGCAGTCAGCCACTCCCAGGTCTCTGACGCAGGTCCCCACAGGCAGCCCACACTCAGATGGACAAATACAGGGCACACTGGCTTGTGTTCCCCACCCCCTTGCTCTGCAGCCAGTATGAGTAATATCCAAGCTGATTTTAATTTGAAAAATGTCACCTTAAAAAGATGCCGGTTCCCTGCTGTGAAAATTAAAACCATCTGGATGGAGTGATTTCAAATAATTAATCTAGGTCTCCTTTGGCACTGCTACTAATTAAATATGATACCTTCCTCCCACTTTTTAAATAAAAAATTTAAATAAAGTTTAAAGATCTAATAAAATAATGTCATAATTTAGAACTAAATGGAAGTCACCTTTCCTGTGGGCTACGAAGGTTACGGCAGCGCTGAGATCCCTCCCAGGCTAGTGCCACAGCAGGGACAGAGCAGCAGCGGATGGGCAGGCATCCAGTGAGACACCCATGCTGGTAAACACACCAGCATACACAGCCCAGCACCCTGAGATGGCCTGTGACCCCCAGGGATCATCCTACACCAAATGTCTAGGAGAGGAGAGCAGAGGAAAGGAGGTTCAG